ATTGTAGTGCCGAGAGATAGGAGGCGGTGCATCGAAGGTGCAAAAGTTTACTTTATTGAGCATATGTTGTCCGGTTGCAGCCCGGAAAGAGAAGCGAAAGAAGCCAGGGGGGCACACAATATATACAGTTAGCAACACATATGTCCGTGTGGAAACAATACCCCCAACCTGTAGTTCCATGAGTGAATTATGTAATGCAGTGGTGGTCACCACACTATTATCATTAAGACAATAAAGGGCAAAGATATGTAGAAAATAAACGTATTTAAGATACGTTCATAACAAACGTAACGTGGGAGAAAAATATGTTTCTAGAAGATATGTAGAAAATAAACGTATTTGAGATACGTTCATAACAAACGTAACGTAAAATACGTTTCTAGCTAAACGTAATTGAGAATGCAGTTTAGTTATGTGGGAACATAATTTTTAGGAGACAGGGTTGGAAAATACTAGTTTCTCACCAATTAAACAATAAGCAGTTTACATTGGCTTAAAGGAAGAGTTTGACATTTAAGGGATTGTGCCTAGTGGCTTTCCTGCTGGGATTTAAGATGGGATGAATAAAAGGCAAGTCAAAACTGTTTATTTCAACAACCAAAAATGATGAATCACTTTTCTTTCTAAAGGCCAGCAGGGAGCAACTTCACAGGTTGAAAAAAAGGTCTGATTGTATTGTCTTTGAGAAAATTGTCACCAAGGCGTTGATTATCATGTAGTTGTACTAAAAGACACCTTAAGGATTCAGTCGTTCATAAGTATTCCAATTAGTATAGAAGTTTACATGATGGATGTTTTTTCTACCAAGCTCTAGTTAGCATTAGCTAGTAATTCAGCTAGTCCTTTCTCACAGCTCCTCCCTCCTGTCCAGATTGCTCACTTACTAGCTCCAAAAAAACAAGATGGCCATGATTACAATGCCACACTCAAAATGTTAGTCCATTGACAAATTACTTGAGTCTCAGTGACAACTTAACCCTCTGGAGTCTAAGGGTATTTTCTCCATTTTTAGATGTTTTCTTAAATCACCTTTTAAATGTATTTCTTCTAACATGGCACCCCATGTGTTCAATATCAAAATGTTCAGGACAATCTCTGGTATTGCTATATATGCAAATTACTCACCTTAGAGCACTGTATGATGAGATAAGTAGCTCAAAAGCTTAAAATTTGACATCCGATCTTCGGAAAATCGTCAAAACTCTTGTGAAAACACAAATTTACTCATGTGATTGAATTGTTTTGGTGTTTTAGATTTGGTTACCAAAGTCTTAGGATCACAAAAGCAGTGAAATATTTGAATTACACTGTATATAAATGTGTAATTCATGTCTAAAATGAAAATTAATTAATTCGAATTTTGAGTAAAACAGGTGTTTATCACTCTACTTTCACCACAGCAGGGACTGAGATACATTAGGACTGAATAATGACTTCATATTACATACCAAGGTTCATGTGATGTGTACAAATACAAATTGAGCATTCAAACTTTTTACTCAACCAACTATTTATTATAAATATGTTTTTTTCAACCAACTATTTATATAAATATAAGAAACTGGAAAATCTCACTATTTACAATATTGAACATCAGAACTTTCAACCAACTCTTCATTATAAATGTCAAGACAGTGTCAAGGTCTTTGTCTGTCTTCCAAGACAGTGGGTCTGGCTGCTGTGTAGGTGGGGGTGATGGTGCATGGGCTGCTGTGTAGGTGAGGTGTACAAGTGCTATACGAGACCTCCACGAGACCTCCTTGCTGGCTGGGTTGAAGGTGATGGCTGTGGTGGAGCCTTTGTGCTGAGGTGTATCTTGACCTGGTGGCAGCCGCAGATGGAGGTGGAGGCAGCTGTAGTGATGCTGGTCTGCTGGTCCTTGGTGGTGATGGCTCTGGTGAAGGCCCTTGAGCCACGGTAGATCTTGACCTGGGGGCCGGCACAGATGGATGTTCTGGCTGCTGGATAAACACCGCCTGTGGGCCACTAGGCCCAGGCAGCTGTGAAACCTCTCTGTAAAACAAATTAAAATGTAGGACAATAATTACAACTAATTTCATTGAAATAATAAGTAAAATGTTGCTCAAGCACAAATAACAATGCACACATAAAAAGAAAGTTTGGGAGGTTGGACAGGAGTCTCTCTCTCTGTCAGACACACACACACAGGTATTTCCAGTTACTATACATTCAGTATAAAATCACAGACACACATATACATAGGCTACATCTGATTACAAAGTCTCTTCTGTACAGGACGGTAAAATAATCACAGGCACACATAAATAAATCTATGACAAAGTCTCATCTGTACAGAACAGTATGATACAATAATCGATGGAAAAAACATGTCTATAGCCACTGTAAATGTCTCCGTTGTGGGACGAATAAATGATTAATTTAATCATCTACACATGTAATCTCACTTTTACACACCAAAATAACGTTAACACAGAGTAAACGTTTGCTAATGGAGTCTATTTTGTCCCAAGAAAAAGTTCCTGACTATCGATACAAAAATATATCAATAAACCTATTGTTACTTTTCGCGGTATTCCCCACACATTGCCAGTACACTATTACTGTAATATTTACACTTACCCATGTCAAAATGGATCTTTGTTGTATTCTTCTTCTTCAGAAGAGTCGAAGACTTCAGGTTCTGAGGCTCTATCTCAGGGGTGGGGAACCTCCGGCCGATTTAAGAAATCGAGACCGCAAAAGAATTAAACAAGCGAGTGCCTGTTTTTCCTGGCCAAGGTCAGGGTCCTTGAACACAACACGAGCCCGTCCACACTACAGCTTCAAAAAAAGCTTGGAGCAGGGCGTGTCTGAAGCTTGGGGATTTTATTCAAGGAACGCGACCAACAACCAATCACATGAATCTCCCGCCCCCGACATACAAAGCAAAAACCCCCGGGGATTTTATGGGAGCAATATATATATAAACTCCCCAAACAGGCGAAAACCTACCAGTTTCACCCACTGTCTCTGCCACCTCCCTCCATGCCTGGTTCCTCCGGTTTGTATCCCGGTAGGTGAAGAGGGTCTGGTCATACAAAACCGGGTGATTTGCTACGGCGATAATTAGTTTCTCCTCCATCTTTTTTTTTTAAATATAGAAATGAACGGCGGGATATCTCTCCCAGCTTAGACGCGGTTTGATTGGCTACGGCTTGAGCTGTCAGATTTTCCGAAACGGGATTTGATTGGCTGGCGCTGGCTACTCCGGCGTCAGAAGTTGAACATTGTTCAACTTCTGACGCCGGAGACGGCGGAGACGGACCGCTATGCTACCCACAATTCAGTTCGGTGAAAAGTGACGTGACGTCACCCCATTCAAAATGAATGGGCAGATTGAAGCTGTCGACGCTGTAGTGTGGACGGGCCGTAAGTGTCATCACGTGGTATATGTCCCGTCTGACAGGGGTGCAGTTCTGACGGAGAGCACCAGAACGCCGCTCCTGGCCGGGACCTCACACATGCAGTACCCATAAGGAGCCGTACACTTGCTGCAGTTTCTGCGTGGCTGTGTCTTTAGTTGAAAGCCCAGTGGCTATCTGTTCATCTGTCATACTGATCATACAGTCAATAGCTTTGTTGTTATTATCATCTGGTTAGCTAGCTATGCTAACGAATATAAAAACCTTTTTCTACAACCAGTGAGGTAACGGCACATCTTTATATGATCATTATAGTTGTAAAAAAATAAGAGAATAAAGTAAACAGGTATAAAATACTATATGACAGTAAAAAAAAGTTGTTATTAATAAACAAGAATACAGTTTGAAATGGGAGTGATTTGTAAAATAACCAGAAAGACAAAGAAATCTGCTTACAGTTCTGTTTCATATGGATGTTGGGAGATGTCTCAGGAGGTTAGGTTAGGTCCCCCCCCCCCCCACTTAAATCATGTTCACATGGATATGAAACTAAATACATTGGCACACATCTTGTGTCCATATCTTTCTGTTTTGGTGGTCATGCCACAACCGTGCACGTAAATGCATACGCGAGTCATGGTAAAATATCTGGATTAAGAGGTTGCTTTTTCTTTGCACAGCATGAAAGAAAGGCGAAATTAATGGACTGTGATTTTAGTATTTTTAAGCAGAGGTCAACCATTTATACGGCCCTCGGAGGATGTTGAAAAAATTGAAATGGCCCTTGAGAGGAAAAAGGTTCCCCACCCCTGCTCTATCTTCACTGCTGCTAGCGAAAAAAATCTCTAGCGAAGTCGGCGACGGTAAGGTTTTTTTATAAGCCATTTTCTGTCTCTCTCTTTCTCCTCACAGACGTAAACTCATGGGAGACACGTGGTTTATGTTTTTTTTTACTTGGTGGGTAGGTCCTTAGTGATTTCTCGATGTCCATTGGTCATTTCAGACCATGATGGCTGCCGGCCGAGATTTCCTTGACGGACACACCAATCCACCAATCCCACACAGTGTAAAGTCAAGCTGCTTTGAGCGGCCATATTGGCTGCGGTGCCCTGGTTACAGTCTCACAGGAGATACCGCTGGAAAGCTACACTTTCAGCGATTCCGCGGGTATCTGAATCATATTTCTACTCCTTATAATCGAAAATATATGATTAATTTACGTAAATTATGCGGCTCGTCCACCGACTCCAGAGGGTTAAACTACTTTTTGAATGATGTATACATGCAACTTTTTATCCAAGCTCGCTAGCTAGCATTAGCATTAGCCAGTAATGTAGCTAGTCACTCTTCCTCACTTCCTCCTGTGCAGATACAGTATATTGGTCACTAAAACTACTTCCAAACATTTCAAGCTTATTTTAAAGCTGCTTAATGTTTAAGATGTTTGATTGAGTTTAAACATGCACACAAATTTAGAGAAAATAAACAATATATTTTACTATGCACTGTTGTTCAACTTTAACCCTAACCTGTTTCAACCCTATCTCTTGACAAAAAGGTAGTGGTATTGATAGTGTTCTTCTAAACGGATTATTCTGGACTGTGGAGTTCGCTCACCCTCTGAGTTTTGGCGTGAGGCGCTGCCCCGGACTTTGAAGGCGTGCTTTGGCCCTCGGTTCTTCTCATTGAAACTCAAGCTCTTTGCAACTTTGCTTGGACTGGCCTCGGCCCCCTCCTCCGGAGACTGAGCTTTCCCCTTGGCGACGGGAGCCTTGAAAGGACTTGGGAACACCTTGTCCTTCAGGCTGGACTTCCGACTACAGAGAGTAAACAATGAAAAGGAAATGTAACTATTTTTGTATGCATCATTTAATTAAATACACTAACTAAATGTCTTTATCCTACTGCTTTCTTGTGCAAGTGTAATCTTTATAATTTGACAAATTCTGCGCAGATGTGATGATAGATCTTACCTCTGTGGAAACGTAAAATTGGGCAATGTCCTACAGCAGAAGGAGTCCATATACGAACATAGTGGAGCATTCAGTGGGTCAGGCAAGCAGCAGGAAGCTACAAGCAAGCATGCGTGGGAAGCAAAGTGACACTGCACGTCTCAAAAAGGCCGAGCTGCGGTCTCACTGTGTGCAAAAAAAGTGAACATAAATCATGCAAAAATAATTCACCATCATACTGTGAGCTCCGCCTGATACTCGGGAACTGGTCAAAGGAAACGCATTAAGTATTCAGCAATATGCACCTTGCCTGCTGAACAGAAGTTTGCTGATTAGGCAAAAAAAAGGTAGCAAGCAAATAAACTGCATAGAGACATTACTAAACAGAAACCATAGTGTGACAGGGCAGTAAACAGGGATGTATATCTGCATTATCTTTCCAGAGAAAAAAGGTATGTCACATACTATTTTTCACTAAGCTATATTTTTAAGTCCTTTCCCTCTATGTGTTTGAGTAGGTAAAGGAAACAGAGGTAGGAATGGAAGAAAACATACAGACTTGCAGTGCAGACTTAGTATCTGTGCAGCAACTATACCTAATAGTTCTCGGACAGCACCCGCAAAGTCTGTCTTTGTGTGCATTTTCACTACTGCAGTGGTGGGTAGTAGAGGAGACACAAAAAGATAAAGTAGCAGTGGATACAGTCACAAAAACAGCAGTGTGTGTGCTATACTGTGATGCAAGTAACACTTTATTGTGACTGATTTATAATACAGATTTGTTGTATATAACTAGCAGTTAGTTGAATTTATTTGTCCTTTTGTTACTTTTCCACATGTGTAATGAATTGAAATGCCTGCTAGTATCTTCCTAGGGCATACAATGAGCAAATAGTTTATAAAGGACCAAGTCATGATAAAGTGTTACTACTACATCTTTAAAGATAACACTTGTTTCTTTAGTCAAAAACAATGTGATATAAATCAAGCTCCTAAAGTGTTCAAAATCCCTTTTTTTGTTCCCAAGCTGATGCTGAAAGCCAGAGAATCAAAGAACAGCTTAGTGGTGAGAAAGTGGGCATGAGACCAAATTCAGCTGATCTTTGGTGCACCATGTGAGCAAATGCAGCATGACCGTTCTTGAAGGAGTTACTTAACATACATACACATCCATGTCGGACACGCAGGACTTACAACACACACTCACACACAGATCTACTGTACACACACACACTCCCTCAAGAAGAGTGCTTCAGCAGCAGCTAAGAGCAGGTTTGAAGAGAAGCCAAAGGGAGGTAAAGAGAAATAAAATGCTAACAGATCACAGACCTGGGCGAGGTTTCAGCTTGAGAGTCCTTCCTATGAGGAGAGGAGAAACTAACTGTTACACTGTATGTCATAATTAACATCGATCCATGTTGTTAAGGTTGTGGTAGATTAGCGCTGGAACATGTTCAGAGAAATATTAAGACAAGTTGCTAGATGTAAAAAAGTGTGCTGCTTCAAATTCAATTTACATACAGTATAAGAGGAGATAAAGAAGATAAGAAATGACATGAGCCATTTAAGCCATTTTAGGCGGCTAAAACAAGCTTTGAAAACAACATTAAAATATTGTCACTTTATATGGTACATTTCAGACAATGAGCAACACAGACTTTAATTCATAGTTTAGCTGTCTCTATCAAATTAATATAAGCATTTCATTAGAATAAAAAAGAGGACATACATAGCTTTCGGGTCTCAAAAGTAAAGCCAAAGCCAAAATGTCTCAAACCTGCATTATCTCTAATGTCCAGCAGGGGCAGCCCTATTGGTCAGAAGCATAGACTGTATATGATCAGAAGTCAAATTGTATAGAAGTCTATGAAAAAAATCCCCTTACTTCTCGCTTGATTTATTACCACTCTATACATGTTCCAAGTGAGTTTATGGTCTCAATCCCTAATTTGAAGTCTTCTTCAATGCAAGAAATGTATGTGGCCCTCAATGTTACACTATGTTTACCAGTTGAATTATCAAAGGTTGTCAAAAAAAAAATGTTAGTATCCCTTTTCTTTTTTTTAAATATACATTTTTCCAATCCAAAGATTATTCCTTCACTGGCAATAACCATTACCCATCCCATTATACAGATATATATATATATATTATGCTGCTGTCAAATCCGTGTTTCAGTGCTGTACGATACCAGTCACCTCTGTGGAAACATTGGTATAACTGCCTTTTTTAATTTATATTTGAGTGTTGTATGTTTTTTGTAATAATGGACCAAGAGTCTCTTTAAATAAAAGATGATGATATACATACAATATATACATTATACATCCCATTATACATTATACATCCCCATTATACAGTGTAAGCATCCCAGCATCCTTTTCATTATCATCTTCGGCTTTGTCAATGCTCATGTTTTTACCTGAATGACTTTCCCTTCAGATTCCTCAGCAGGTCCAGCTGATTCAGAGGTGGAATGAGTCTGGGAAAAGACAAAGAACATTTCTGTCAAGGAACTTTCAACTCAATGTCGATAAGTTGAAGCTCGCCGCTGGGCACTTTTAGTTTGGCAGTTCTCTATTCTGCTGGTCATTGCCTTTTTACCTACAACTGGAATGAAACCAAAAAACAGAAGCCATTTTCAATTAGAAAAGACAAGCAGCTTCTTCTAGACACATATTAGTCAGAAATGTGTGCCGTGAAAGTCTGGCCTGGCAGCTCAACTGCTGATTCATACAGTTGGGCAGTGAAATAGGTGGTTAATTTCACAAAGTAGCCACTGGCAGTGTTTGTCCTTGGAACTATGTTTCAAAAGAGGTATCACTACCAAAACACCAGCATCAGCCACTGTACAATTACCCTTATTTAAGCAGAAAGTGAAAGTCACACCGGTGAGCGATGCTTCACAGTAGTATCTGATTCAACAAATGAGTTTAGAATACAATAAGACAAAGAATCAGATTTCCACTTAGCTTAGTTTTCAGAGGGATGGCAGAATGTGATATGGGAAAACAGTATTTATTGAAAATGTAAAGCATTATTCAGACATATCCATCACTTACCTGTACATTGGGATCGCTACAGTCTGCTCGTAAAAATCCCAAGTGTACATCAGATCTGTCCGGGAAAGGTTGGTAGCATAAAACCTCCAAGCACCCTGGAAAGAGACAGGAAACGACTTTTAATCTTTTCGTCAGAAGCACACACAGGAATCAAATCTGCTGTAAATCCCATAAATGGTGTTGTTATCATTCCGTTTTTACCTGGATGAGGCCTGCTGCAGGGGTACGTCTCTTCTCAAAATGTTTCTGCCTGTGTTGCTCTTGTACCTTCAGGGCAAAGCCAGAACCCAGGATGCCCTAAAACGATAAAGGTATCTTTATTGACCTCTATTGGCCAGGAGTTGGAATCGTAACTCCTTCAACATCTTGTAGAACCTTCTACAGCAGAGAGTAGGGAGCACATACAACTAGAAGATGGCATATATATAATATGACAGATGTCTACAAAGCCTTAAGGTAATAATCGTTTGATACAATTATTTCCTTCCCACATGGCAAAAGTAAAGGCTGTTTCCTGTTAACAGAATGCTGATACAGCAATCATATTTGTGTTGGACCAGGTTTAACTAAAAGCTTACTGCTGAGTCTGACATTTTTAAATCTCAGGTGAAATGCCAAACATTTAGCAGCAAGTGACAAACCCATCAGTGACTGGAATTATGTCATTAGGTGAGAGCTTTCTAAATGTGAAGGGACACATGAGCAGTGTTTTTGAGGAAGCTTTTAGCTGGCTTCTATAGTCTAATTACCAGAGAGGACAAATACTCTATAATATTCTAGACTGGCTCTTAGACTGCTTATTTTTCTGGGTGGGATCATAAAAGACTGAAAAGTTTATAGGTAGCTGGGGATCACTACATTATATTAAATATTCACATCCTTTCAATATATCACAGCAGAAATGTAATTACAAGAGAAATACAAATATAATTAGTTTAGGTACTCTAGGTTCAGGGCCCTAGTATTGTGTATGCTGGTTCACTCAGACCATGGATTGATGGCTGAAAGTAGAATGTCTCATGAAGTGACACTTAACAACTAAAAATAGACACAAAAAGACCACAAAGTCGCACAAAACAACATACAAAATACACAAAACAACAGCAAAAAGAGGCAAAATTACTGTTTTACATTATAAAGAAGTATGTCATTTTGCCACTTGGTGGCAGCGTGGCAAGCTGAGAATACCAGTTCCTTTTTCGATGTTTTTGTGCTAACCAACAATTGGCCATTTTCACACAATCAGTGGATGTAGAGGATCATCATTTGCATTTGGGGTTGTCTTTGTATGACCTGATGAATGTAAGTCTAGTTTATGCTCTCTGTTGATAGTCTCTATGACGCCATGTGTCACATTGTTTATTGAATCAATTAGATGGTCAAGTATACACAATCTGGTCTTTCATGGTTAAAATAATGAAATATGTTATGTTCTTGTGTTCTAAAAGAATACTAAGTAGTTAGCATGAGGGGTGAAAAACAGAACAAGGAATGCAAACTCAAGAATACAATAGACACATTCTTATGGAGGTACAGAGCAGTTGCACCACATTGCTGATCACTTAACAACATAGAGACTTAATTAACACAAAAGAAACCACGACACTGGGTTCAAAGTGTGTCGTACTCACAGCAGGAAGTGCAAAGAAGGCCACCCCGATCATGCTGAACGCGGCTGCCAGCATGCGACCATTCCAGGTCTTTGGAACCTTATCACCATAACCAATGGTGGTGAGAGTTATCTGGTGAGAAGATAAGTTAAAGTCACTCTGATTCGTGGAACAGGTTGCATAAAAGAAAGAAAGGAAAACTGGAAATAAAATGTGTAGTATAAGACAGACCCTTTCCCCCTTGTCTTACCAGTCCCCACCAAAGGGCATCAGCATAGGTCTCAAACTCAGTATTTGAATCCTTCTCCACGGAGTAGACCAGGAATGAAGCCAGGATGAGGCACAGGAAGCCGATGTACCACGCTGTGATGAGCTCCTGCAGGGAAGAACAATACAGTGAGCGGCAGGGAATCTAAAGTAATAGTGTTATCGAGGAAGCCTGGCAAAGTGGTGATGTAACCTCTGTAAATTGGTAAAAATGGCCTTTGTAATAATATTACATTACATTAAATTAGAAACATAATTATGTGAGTCCATTGTCCTCTGCGGTAGACCAAGCACTTCATAATAACCGTCTTTGTTTCCCTCGATGCTTCCTCTCTCCGTCGTCTCACACAAACACACACAGTTTTCCACTATCTTGTTAGTGCACTGCAAGTTGATAATTCAAAGCTCATAAATATATTTCCATACCATGACAGGATTACTGTCACTGAATTAACACGGTGGAAAATAAAGCACTATTGGTTTGAACCCCCATGGTTTAAATCCCATGTGAAGACCACTTTCACCCAGGAGACCACTGTATTGATTGACTGTAAAATAAAACAGTTGACTTATTTTAGGCCTACGTCACTTTTATTACATTCTTAACTTACATACATAACTTAACTTAAATATATAACTTGGGAAATGTAACAAATATAGTTATTTTAACCCAAACCATGACATTTTACTAAACCTAAATAATGTTTAAAACTGCAACTGTGACCTGGAGGAAATAGGTTTTACTTAAAACGTAATTATTAATGTTTTTGTTGTAGCCAAAGTCATCCTTTTGCCCTGGCTTAGCTTATTTAAGTCCTTTCACTTCCTCTGCATGTTTTCTAGGTAAAACAATAACACATGTTTACATTTACAGTAAATTAATCATCTAATTAAAAGCTGGAAGTGGACATACATCAATGATAATACAGTAAAGACAGTATTCAAAACATTATTTATCTTAAAAGATGTTTTTTTTAACCTTTACTTAGCATACATTTCAGTGTAGTTAATGGAACTGCAGAGCACATTAGATATGCTTGTTAACACCACATCTGGCTGGCTAATAATACCAACACTGTGATCACACCTTTGAGAAAAGTGTTTCGAAGATGGAGCCTTCAACTCTTATTCAACTTCTACAGTAAATCTCGAATGATGTCACCTTGCTGTGGGCGTAAACTACAGATCCCAGCAGCTTCCAGGTGCCCCCCCGGCGGTCCATACGCAGCATGCGCAGGATCTGCAGGAATCTCAAACTCCTGATGGCCGAGGTGGCGAACACATTGCCCTGAGAACCGGCCGCCAGCACTGACACTGAGGCGATCAGCACCATGATGTCTGGAGAGAGAAGACACATCACAGAACTCTGAACACGCTGGGGAAGATACAGATCCCCGATCAAACCATGAGTGAATTACCAATACTTTAATGTGTACAACGAGGACCCATTTCCTTGTAATTCAAAAGTTGCTTAGAGTACTTAGAAGCAACTAGAAGAGTCAAGTTTTCTTGAGTTTTTTATGTTCTGTTAAGGGCAACCAATATGGAGAAAATTACAAGAACACTTAACAAAGATGGTTATTATATTCAGGACCAAAGCCTCCAGCATTAGAATGAATGGAAAAAACAGAGTCTGTGTAATGTTTTATGAGCTGAGAGGGCAAAAGTACACACATCCTTTACTCAAGTAGAAGTACAGATACTTGTGTTTAAAAATACTCTGGTAAAAGTAGAAGTACTGACTAAACTTTGTCACTCGAGTAAAAGTAAAAAAGTATGGGCTTCGAAATGTACTTAAGTAAAAAGTACCCATACCTAGCAGCTGTTTTAAAGAGTACCTGACCTCCCTTTATATTAATAGAACAATAATGTCATTGTTAGCTAATGAATGTTTCCATGCTGAACAACGGCAACATGACAACGTTTCCATTGGTCCCTCTTCTTTAAGGCCCTGTCACACTGTCCCGAAATTGACACCCGATGGACACACGAATATGGAACTGTGAATTTCGCACGAAGATGGCCCCGAACCATACACGAAGGCAACATTTACATTACATTTAAGACATACAACTGCAATGAAAGTACCAAAAACAATTATGTTACAGTACTATGATACTGTACTGATATCTTCAGACTTTGTTCTTTACTTTATCCCTCTTTATATGTAGAAAATATTACGTTTTCTCCGTAATGTTGTTTCCATAACAACAACAACTTCCTGTCAACTCTCCTTCAAAATAATATATTATATCCTTTTTAGTTTCACAGAACACAAAATGGGTTTTTTACATAATATATTTACATGATTTTGTTGTGCAATAAAACAACCCGATGGACACACGATAAAGGAAAGGTTCAAATTCGGCTGTGATCGTAGCAACATCGGGCCATTCGTGAGGGCATCTTAAGCCATCGTATGACGTCCGGTGGAGTTTCTCAGGCTCCGGCAGCAACTTCGTGAGCGGTGGCAAAATCTTTGGCATGCCAAAAAATTGCCGAAGGACCTTGCGAAGGTTCATTTTCGTGTTGAATTCGTGTGTAAATGTTGCCCTTCGTAAGGCCATCGTGAGGGCATCTTGTTATCATCGGTGCCATCGGGCATTCGCCCCGATCAGAGTGAGGGTGAATGCACCGATGATAACACGAAGATGACACGATTTGACAAGATGCCCTCACGAGTACCTTACGAAGTTGCCGCTCACGAAGTTGCTGCCGGAGCCTGAGAAACTCCACCAGCGATCATACGATGGCTTAAGATGCCCTCACGAATGGCCCGATGTTGCTACGATCACAGCCGAATTTGAACATTTCCTTTATCGTGTGTCCATCGGGTTGTTTTATTGCACAACAAAATCATGTAAATATATTATGTAAATAACCCAATTTGTGTTCTGTGAAACTAAAAAGGATATAATATATTATTTTGTAGGACAGTTGACAGGAAGTTGTTGCTGTTATGGAAACAACATTACGGAGAAAACGTAATATTTTCTACATATAACGACGGATAAAGTAAAGAACAAAGTCTGAAGATATCAGTACAGTATCATAGTACTGTAACATAATTGTTTTTGGTACTTTCATTGCAGTTGTATGTCTTAAATGTAATGTAAATGTTGTCTTCATGTGTGGTTCGGGGCCATCTTCGTGCGAAATTCACAATTCCATATTCGTGTGTCCATCGGGTGTCAATTTCGGGACAGTGTGACAGGGCCTTTAGAGAAGACCAGGAAATGATGGATACACGGATCGTGTTCAAATCAATAGGCACGCAATGACTCTAAATAATAATTATCACGCCACCAAACACACATTCAGACTAAAGGAACCAGCTGTTTGGGAAATGTAAGAAGTAGAAAGTACAGGTATTTGTTTTAACAATGTAAGAAGTAAAAGTAAAAAGTCGTCAGAAAAATAAGTAGTGGAGTAAAGTGATACCAGAAAAATTTACTTAAGTACAGTAACAAAGTATTTGTGCTCCACTACTCCCCACCTCTGTATATGAGAGCAAGGGGACATCCAGCCCCACTCTGTTTTCTCACCTATGACACAGAAAGGCTTTCTGGCGAACTTGAGCCTCCCGCTCCATCCTCTGTACCGACAGCAGCAGCCAGCCGCCCATATCCTCACGATGTACTCCACTCCAAACACCACGATGGTCACTATTTCCTGTGGAACAAACAAAAGTTAACCCTGAGACATGTTTGTATATGGAGTACAACTAATGAAATGGTACCTACCAGGATGTACAAGGCACTCTCTGAGCTATTCTTGAACTCTCTGATGGTGGCAAACACTGAGAGGATGAGACAGGAGAAGATCAAGAGGAAGCTGATGGGAGGAAAAGTACAAAAACAGTTATTGTTTTTTATTTTAAGGTATTTCACAGTTCATTTCATTCAGTGAATCAGTCTGCATAACCATATAAACAAAGCATGTGTGGTGTCAGTTTCTTAAAGGGGCAGTTCACCCCAAATCAACCAAATATTCTCAATTACCCTAAGGTATTAAAAGATGATTATTTGCATTTCCCCCCCCAGTAAAATGGAGATGAATGAACATTTCAATAACTAAACAGCATTATGGCTTTCAGAAACCATGTCCCATTTCGATGAACCACATATCTTTGTCAACAGTTACCATAAGGACTTTATTTCGTTGGTTTAAACATTTAAATTAAATTGAAGAATGAAGAAAAAACATGTGCATGGCTTGATACCAACCCTTTATGATATTTCCACATTTAATGTAATATTAATCTGCTGGCATTGTCACGATCATTTGCCATAAAGACCATTTCCCATCTGTTTATCAAACTCTGAAGCTTAAATAGGGACAGTTGGGGACTTAATGAATAATTAGTGCCGCAGAAGCTGGGTGGTGCCCTTCTTAGCGGAAATAAGCAAAGTGCATGAACATCTGCAGCTCGTTTAGGAGGAATCAGTGAATTAGTGAGTCAATAAGACAGAAAGCCTGAAAGATGCAAGCAGATACATTTTCATTGGAACTACTGATCCTTCTTAAATAATGTCAATGAAACGATAACAATAAGGTTTCCCATGTAAAACTTGAGTTTGGTCAAGTGACCTTATAACACGTGCTGACATTGACAATTACGAAGAATAAGTGCAATTACTGGCTTTCTCAGAGAGTACCTCTTCACTGGATCGACACAAAAGTCATTACTCCTTTCAACAAAGGTTGGGAGTTAGTGTAAGATGAGTTTAAACTTTGTTAAGACTGGGACAATCCCATAGACCAAACTCCTCCATTAACAGGTTATATACAGGATATTATAAGATGTATACTAAAGATCAATAAAACAATGTGTTTGTCTAGGTACAATAGAAAAGGAATGGTGAATGGTTTTAAGTAGACTGATGTGATTTGGAAGAAAATCAATTCTGCAGCCACACATCCAGAAGATTGGCTGAGACCGTCAGGCGAGCGCTTTATTGGACAGAACATAACATGTGATTTCAGAGAGGAAGAGGCATGGCAAGGCCTGACCTTAGGGACCTTCTTCAGAAAAGATCGACTGGAAGAATTCCAAAGCAGAGATAATGGAGAGTGCCTGGAGAAACCCAATACTAGGACCACGCAGGAATTCAAGAAGAAATAAGAAGAAAGCAGGCGCAGCTATCATTAATCATAAGATACATCAAGCATCTCTCTGAGCACAAGATCAGGTAACACATTAAAGCTCAAACTACACCCGAGTGATCTCATTTAACAATATACTGTTTGAGTGGTGGGAGTGGGCTGATGGAGAAATCAAAGGGTGGTTGTTATGACGAAGATGTGAGTAATACCTATTCACACATCCAACAGGAAAACTGCCTTTTAGCTCCGATTTTGGTCTCAACCTTCATTCCACAAAATGGCCATTTAGCTTCTAAATGCAACACTAACTTCACCAGTTGGTTGCTACATGTATATGATTGATTGTTATCAAACCTATCAAAGGTGTCTTATCAGTTTCTTATCACTACCATTAAAATGCTTCAGATGGGACAAATGACACCTACCTTCACGATATGAAACCGTTTTAGCAGGTTGCAATGTTACAAAACATGATACAAAAATCATTGGTTAGTTCAAGGTAAAGATGGTCGTTTGGGGTACAATAAGTGGATGGGAACTTAAAGTTGCATATGTATGTATGTACGTACATTTGAAGTCACGGTTTGTGTTATGGCTGCAGTGATCTAGCTTAGGAATAGATGACTACAGCCTACTGAACCTCATCTATGTTCAGATAACTACTTCTAAAAGCATTTTATTCAGCTGTTAACATCCAAAGCTGTTGCTGCTGTTTGGTGCTGAACAGGAAGCGGACAGCTAAATGAAACAAAGCTGATGCACAAATAACAAACCAATCAGAAAGGATAGGTGAGATGACCTCGTAGAGATGAGGGGAAGTGGAGAATTTGGTGATAAGTCATTGAGGGTTGGTCAATACCAGTGACACATTTCCATTTGTAGCCTTTATTTAAAGCCTTTAAAAATTACATGTAGTCACTTCATCCATTATTGATATAAGTAATATTGATTGTGTGGAGGCTATGGTGGTCAAATTTCTCCTAGGGCCAAGGAAGAACTAACACCAGCCCCCCCCCCACACACACCCACACACACACACACACCACACACACACACACACACACACACACACACACACACACACACACACACACACACACACACACACACACACACACACACACACACACACACACACACAGTTAGCCAATCAGAAGGAAGCAGCAGAGATCAATGAAGTCAGCTCATTCTTTATACTCTTTCTTATTCCTCGTCAGACGCACTAAAACATCTCGACAATAGTCTAATTCAACTGTAGCTACGACTGTTCTTTATTTGTTTGGTCACGTTGAGGTGATTCTCTTTTACATACACAGTATATGTGCCCAATAGTGATGGCTTTAGCTTTTGATTATTCTTATATTCAAGGTCACTCAATAGGGCAGTCATTTTCTGACAAGTTGTATCAGTTTTCATATATTATCTTCCAGACTGGTCTCCAAATTGGATCGGAATCATTGAGTGAATTAATAGAAAGAATCAGACACAAAAAACACATTATACCATTGGATTCAATACATCTTATTCATTCCTACCCATAGTTAAGGCACCTGCAGAACATTATTCTGACAAGGCGGAGACGTCTGATGCTTCTGTCTTTGGTTCTCTTGTGACATATTGAGGTCAGTCTTCACATGTCATCGTTTACAGAACAGTGACTTGTCACTTCACTGTCTGAAGACCAACATGTTGGTGTGTATGCTGGGAACACATCCATTAATACGACCTCACAAGTCTACATTCATGATGCTGAGACCTTAAGGGACAGTTCTTCCACAAATCACAAGTACATATTTTGCCTCTAACTTTTAGTTCCGTTCATAAATGTATATAGTGTCGGTGTGAGCTCCTCAGTGATTTAGATATCGGACAAACACATATCTAGCTCTTCTCCAACAAAATGAAACTAGATTGCTATTGGCCTGTGTCGGTGAATGTGCTAAACAAACAGAAGAACTTGTTGATTACAGCAAAGTGTGAAGATTATCTTTCTGTATCCAGGTAATGATTTTTCAAATATATTCCTGAGCACCACAACCAGAGGGCCATATCATTCAATTATATTGGAGAGAAGGCACACTCTCTCAAAGGTCCCATGTCATGCTTTTCTGGTTATTACCCGTCCCCTTGTGTGTTATGAAGGTTTTTCTGCATGTGAACGGTCTGCAGAGTCACAAACCCTCAAAGTACACCCTGTAGCGAGTAAAACTCTAACACAGAAAATACCTGTCTCTGCTGCCCCAGAACGCCTCGTTGGACATTTCTCTTTTTCCATTTGTTTCCAAAATGGACCAATCCGCGGAGCTCCTCACACACCGTCACTATCAAACACAATGGGGGGACCTTTAGCGTACATTTTCAACTAACAGGGGGTCCCATTGACTTGCATAGAGCTCCCTGGTTGGTAATAGACGAGTTGGGATGGCGGAGAAATGCTCTCCGCAGACCCATGCTCACAGCGTTATAAACCTTTTTCTTATTGTTTTTACTTCGGCTGTGAGTGTTTGTGTGCACAGGATGAGTTTCGCGCTGTCCCGCTGTATCGCCGACCCGGAAACCACACCAGTAAGCCAGCTCACTGAGCAGCGAGCCTCGTAACGTCCCGACCAATCAGAGCACACTGGGCTCACAGGGAGAGGGGGGGGGCAGGAGCTCCAACAAGCCGTTTAGGACAGAGAGTGAATACACATACTATACAGAGATGCTGAGAAACCAATGTGAGTTTGGAACATTGCACAATATAAATCTATTCTAGTAGACCTCAACAATGGAATTATGATCAGTGGAAATGGCCATGACATGGGACCTTTAACACAATATATCTCACAATTGGCAACTTACACCAAAACAATCCACAGTATACTGATAAATAGCACTACTATTTCAATTTTGTGAAGAACTTTTCCATCAGGATTCGTATAACTTCAGTTTGCTGTAGCTTGCAAATCAAAAAGATGCACTATGCAACCGCACAAAATCAGTTGTCCTGCTTGTGTAAACACTGATGTGGGATATTTCTCTCCTGGTGATTCCTTTATGAAGCAATGTCATTCCTTAAATACATGTCATTCCTGAACTGGAATGTTGCGCACAAAGAAGCACGTTAAATCAGTTTAAGCATCTGTCCTGACCTGACCCTGCCAGGCTCATCAGTACCTCCTAATGAGGACACTTGGTGCTGAAGGCGGGGGGGAGAACCTGCCTCCTGAAGCAGTCACACAATTATCTTTAACAGCTACTCTTCCTCTTTGCCATCAGCAAAGTGCAGATTGAACAGATTCACTTAAAGCCACCATCTGCGATAGACCAAGCAGCTCATGGTTATGCATGAGGTCTTAGGACAAAGAGGGAAATAAAAGTGTGAATTCATGTTATTTACACGTTTTTGGGGCATATATGTCCAGATGTTCATTATCTCATTGGAATGTATGTGTGATACCAACTATAATGCTAATTGGGCACATTTTCTATCAAATAAATAGTTTTAAACCTTCAGGTCTGAAAGTGAAGAAAAATTCTGCCTTAAACCTGCATTCTTTCTAATGTCCAGCAGGGGGTCGACACCTGGGAGTGCAAAAACAAGTCCGGTTGAATAGAAGTCTATGAGGAAAAGACCCTACTTCTCACTTGATTTATTACCTTAGTAGTAGATATGTTCCTAGTGAGTTAGTGGTCTTCATTTTCACTTTAAGCCTTCTGAAATACAGCACGATGTTCAATTTATAAAT